GACAACTTGGTACCAGGTTGTTGAGTTCAACAGACTTGATACAAGTTGTTCCAACAACTCGTTATCGTCCTGCAATTCAACAACTTGTCAACAAGTTGTGAGTGACAAGCTTGTAGCAACTTGATAAAATAACAGCATTGTTACAACTTGTTGACAAGCTTGCTACAAGCCTGTTGCAAACACATCTTGTTGACAAGTTGTGAGATTTTTACGTGTGGAACAGGAACTGTTCCAAAATACCGTCTGCACTCCATTCTACCGGGTGTACTGTATAAAAAACGCAACCTCGGAATTTCCTAAGAAATCCACTTTGCAATTCTTAAGCATAAAAGATTTTAGGCCCCTGGGAATTGAAATCGCATTGCTAATAGATCATATTATTGTTGTTGTACTGTACTTGTCAAATAAAAACTTATTAAATGTGATATTTGTTCATACAAATCAGAAGTTATCCTAAATTCCCATGCCAGAAGACCTTGACCTTCAAAAGACCTTTACCTTGTGTTTTCGATCACGCATCGTTAATTCGAGAAATTATACGGTTGTCATGCAAATTACTACAATAGATTCAGGCGGTAAATTTGAATTTGAACTGTAATTAACATTACACAGTTCAGCCGTTTTCCGTTGCTCGTTGTTGGCATCTTAAACGCCTACAAAGAGCGGCTGCGATATATTTATATTGTAATATTGACATTGAGTAGCGTTTCCGTCACTTTTCATTGCATCATTGACGTTTAAACTCCGAAACTAGAAGTACACTCACTGTATGACTGTATGTGTGTATGTTGTTACTGTATGTTTACTTTATCAGTTGTAATGTAGGATAACGAGACGTGTTGAGGTGAAGTATTCTAAAAAGTATTTTTTTCTTTCTCTAGTTGAAGCCTCTTTTTAATCATGCCGGGAACAAAAATTGCGGATGAAGATCGGAAGAAAATCGATAAGAAATTCATCTGTACCAGTTGTAACATGTTGTTGTGCATTCCCATGCAAACTCAATGTGGACACTTGATGTGTTCTGCTTGTCTGCAAACATTGCTAGAGTATGTTAGCTTTCTTTATTTGTATGCCTTAATACTCTTCGCTGCGAAAAATGCAGCTATATGCCGGTGCAGCGCTCTGGCCAACTGGATGGTTGTCCAATACTGTCGACCGTATACGGATCGTAAAGATGGTAAAACATTGAACACAATCCGTACGGTCCGTACGAACTGTGAAATGGCTTTACGGACCGTACGGTTCGTGAAAATGATTTACGGATCGTGAACCTACTTTGTCGATAGCGATGTTGTGTTTAAGTCAGGGCATAAAAGTTTGTCGATCCGTACGGATCGTACGGTCCGTACGAACTGTAAAATGGCTTTACAGACCGTACGATCCGTACGGTTCGTGAAGGTGATTTACGGATCGTGAACCTACTTTGTCGATAGCGATGTTGTGTTTAAGTCAGGGCATAAAAGTTTGTCGATCCGTACGGATCGTGCGGTCGCCGTACGAACTGTAAAATGGCTTTACGGATCGTACTTTTCGTGCGCAATCTTTCACTCGGTCAAGGCAATAATTAAATACATGATGGCGTCGTATACGGTTTGCCATGTCGAAAATATATTCTTGTCAGATTGTAGATGATTAGAAGTGGTTTTCCCGTTGTGGAATAACTGACGTGTGGCTGTGTGCTAAAACTGTGGACAGAACTATAGTGGCGTTTGTGAATGAGACTATGTTATAAGGCGAAAAAAAGCGTATACCAAAGTATTAAATGACAATATTATGTCAATGACAATGACATTGTAATGCTGGATGATTCCGTTTGGCACCTGCCGTCTGCCAAAAAGATACTTGATAGGTATAGCATTCAAATGTTCAGTATATAACATCCACAGTTTACACTTGGTTTTATGCACATTTATCTAATTATTGCGTGTAATTATATGAACAGACAACGTTAAAAAATTTTAAAAAGCAAGTATGGATGAAAAATTTCCACGCGGGAAAAGTTTTTGCAGGCATAATTTTTTCTAAGGCCGCGGCTAAGGGTGGTTATGAATGGAAGGAATTGAGGGATGCCTTATTTAAATACATGCTAAATTTCTGCAGTTAGGTAAAAGCAATGTTAATTTGACAGCGCTGTGCCGACAAGGCTATTGTGTCATCGGATTGGGAATATTTGTGTATAAATATTAGCTGGTATACAGTGTGTCTAAAAACGCAAGTCAACTTTAGCATGAATTTGTGCGTTAATTAATTACTCGCCACCGTTTTGAAAAACAGCGGGATTTGCAAGCTGAGTTTGCAACTTCAGCCGGAAGTGAGCAACGCTAATCGCATATTAATTGCCGCTATAAGCACGGGCAATAGGACAGGTGTAGTGTTGTTAAATAGAAAGTTAGAAATGGTATACTTACTCATGCATTATAATTATGTTTAAAAGATCAGAATATTCATAACTTTCTTATTTTGTTTCATAAATAGTTCTTTAATATTCGAAACAAATTCCATATCTGCTTCGTCTGCCATCGCCATGTTTACTCGTCCCAATCTACATGCTGCCACGGTATTGCCGCCCCTCCTGGCAAAATAATAAGCAAGCGAGAAAAATTAAGGAGAAATAAGAGGGTAGGAACATCGTTGTCATAAGCTGGATGCAGTGACACTTCCATATATGGCACAAACGTATCCATAACTTCCATATATGGCACAAACGTATCCTCGACGCGTTTTAGAACGTTTTATTTGGCGTATGGATGACGTAATGCTGCTTCCCGCCTATGACGATTTGAATTAGTCATGTGATACAAGATTGCGAAAGCCGATTCGCCCAGAACGATGATACGCCCACAATGTTCCTACCCTCTTATTTTCTCCTTAATTTTTCTCGCGCTTATTATTTTGCCAGGAGGGGCGGCAATGCCGTGCAGCATGTAGATTGGGACGAGTAAACATGGCGATGGCAGACGAAGCAGATACAACCTCGTACCCAGGGCTTCTGCGCTTATTGCTCTCAGAAGCCCTGGGATAATCCAAACCGGAACACCATAGAACAGTGGTGCCCCCGGAAGCGGAAGTAAACAGTAGCTCCAGCTAAAAACGCTGACTGGGCATATTTTTACGCAAGGAGTGAGAATGGTTATTTGTTGCAATTTATGATATATTTGGAGTTTGGACTTGTAAAGACGTCTTAAACTGCTTCTCGCGTGGCTTTTGGAATTTAAAGTCAGGAATGATCAATTTAGAGATACAATTATGCGTAAAATTAGCCCTTTGGCGAGCAAAAGAACATCTTATATCGCGACAACAGCATACC